TMSTAAATTAATGATACTCAAAAATAAGTTCAACTTGTTGAMGTTGAACKRCGTCAAAGGGTTAAAAATCAAAGTAAGATTCGTAAAAACTTTCCCATTCCTTAACCTACCCCAATATTTGAGAACCACATATCATTTTCATGGAGTTCTTTAGCATAGAGAGCGTACTTATAACCAACAGCCAACGCTACCAAAAGAGCAAACACGACTTCAATTATGACAAGAAGACTCCAGCGATCATTTGACTGTGGTACTGTTGAAGTGACACTTTTGGAATTTGCTTTGGTTTTTGCTCCGTTTTGCTGGGACAATACTTTTCGTCGTCTTAACTCGCTCATTTTGAGCCAGGAAGAATATTATTTCACTTTAGCTGCTAATTGTACAACAATAAAAGTTAAATATTAACACATTGAAATATCGTAGCCCAAATGACAGTGGGCGTTGAAACCCGCTATAATAACAAAACAGAGGTCGTCACGCATGCGCTCACGTCGGGTACGTGGCACAAAATAGCGCTTCCTCTCAAGATCACAGACAATATTCTTAATGTACAATTATTTTTCCGACATTTTGAGTAGATGATGATAGTCAAAAGTCACTTTTTCTGAAGAAATAAGACATTTCATTTTAAAGCCATTCTAATGTAAAGAACATGTGACCCGCAATCGGCGCCGTGCGCGCACAGGTTTTTCGCGCTCTTTTTACATTATTGAGAAGGTTATGTTTGCATTCATTTGGTGGTAAGATTTTTTTCGGTCTTGATGATGAATTTTTGTCTATTCGATCGAAATGGGGAACMGGAACCAAAATTTCCAAAACAGATTTTAAAAGTTCTTTATTTTGTTGCATGAGTTATAGGTCCAATATTACAAGTGCACTTAATTTTCGTCCGATATCTGAAGGTCATCTACTTGTCAGACCTATATCAGACATAAGCACTGACTACCGCAGTCTAGTTCACTAGTTGGCTGGCGTCAAAATTGTACTTTTTAGGCTGGGGGTCCTGTTCGTCTGTCACTTAATGCGGGCTTCCTGTGTCTTATAGCTGATCAGCGGTTATACAACTAAAAAACAAAATGGCTGCCAAGAAAGTGATTGAAGTCAACGAGACATCAGTAAATACTCAAATATCTTTTACAGATTATGTAAATAATGAATGATAACGTATTCAATTTACAAATATATATTTCTTGTGCCTAGATTGTGGATTTGAGGGCTGAACTATTTCGTAAGGAGCAGCAATTTCGTCAAGAAAGTGGAACCAATAAAATCAAAACTGACAACAATTCGTCCAAAGTACGTATTAAACTTATGATTTCTTTGCTTTAATCTCATAGGACTGTTATTAAAAGGTCTTCGAGTTCTACTTTAGTTTCTTGTGAGTTATTTAAAATCGTTGTGATGATTACTTTGAAACACAGCTGTTTTTTGTGTATGTATAATACAAACAAAATGTCTGTTCCTGTTTATTCTTCGTTAAACTTGAACTACATAGAAGCCCCCGATATGGAGCAAGCCCTCTAAACGTCAATCTAAAGGACAGTCCACAGCACAAGATAATCACCATGATAGCGAACCCACAGAAGAAGAAAAGTCTTTGCAAAAATCAAGAGAAATGCTGCAAGCGAAAGCAGCTCTTTATGAGAAAATGGCAAAAGGCGAAATAGAAGGTAAAATACTTATGTCCATAAGGAAATGTCTCTCTCACATCTCTCCATTCAATATAACTGCATTGTTACCATAGTTAGCTACGTTACTCTCTCACAGAGGTGCTTTTTTTATCTTAAGTACCACTTGTTAAATAATCGACAAATAACAAAACATACCGCCAAACTAACATGAACTGTATCAATGAAGCATTTATTATAAAAGGATAAGTTATTCACTTTAAAAAGATGTAAAAAACTTACTGACATTTGGGAATTTTGTTGTTGATCAGAGTAAAAAGTGATCTACAGTATGACAAATACCCAAAACATTAGTAAAGTTTTATTTTTTTTTTGATAACCTATCCATTTATCACAGTAGAAATTGTGTTCGTTATGATATGATGGTCACTAAATGTCATTTATCCTACCTTGACAATAGCTGTTTCTTCACATCAGATAATGAAGATGCTGATAACGACGGTGGAAGGTTTCTTGTTGACTTCCATAAAAAAACGTATGGCAAGGTAATTAGCAAAGGTACCATTTTAAAAATTTTGAATGCACTCTTTTTTAAAGTTAAACTCTTCACTATTCAGACAGCTAAGCCCAATTATCAAGATGAAGAAGACGAAGACAATGATAGCCCACCAACCCCGCCACCATCATGCCCAGATGAAGAATGGTACGTTTGTTTGATCCATTTGTATTACAATTGTAAAGTTGTTGAGCATAGTTGTTATTCACTCATCGTTCTGTAAATATTCCATTCTATCCACTCATATTTTCATTCCTAAAGAGTGTTTATTTAGTGACGCACTGCTTGATCAATGTGTTGCAGGGTTGATTATGTAGACAGTCTGGGCAGATCAAGAAGATGTTTAAGAAAAGACCTCAAACAATTACAAGACATGGAAAAAGACATCAAACCTGCACGAAGGTTTACAACCCTTAATTTAATTTCAASTTGATCTATTTTCTGAAAGTATTGCATAATTCAATAAAGCTAAGCTCTATTTTGAACCAATCTAGTCCCAGTCCWCCTACTTTATTATCTGACGACATGAGAAGAGAAATAATGAGAAGGAAATGGGAACAAGAAGCAGAAGAAGCAATGAACAGACCTGTKGGACCTGTGCATTATCAAAACGTCCAGTTTGATGGTAATATAAATTAGCTTATCTTTTCTTTGTATTACATAGATCACTTTTTTCTTTTCTTCATTCATTCATCTCATTCTTTATTTTCTTTTTATCTTTTTGACTGCTTTCTTTAACTCATTGCAGAGGTGCGCAACCATGGTGTTGGATACTATCAGTTCTCAAAGTTAGAAGAAGAAAGACAGAAGCAAATGGAGACATTGAATAAGCTGAGAGAAGAGGTAGGGTTGGGATTGCTGTGTTACCTAAACCCAGGGTCCCTCTGCCCAGAAACACAGGAACTCCAGTACTTACTTGACTTCTTTGCGATATCTGTAGACAAAGGAACAGCGCACAAGGATTGAAAAAATAAAGGATAAAAGAAAGGCCGCWCTAGAAGCAAGATTGGCTAAAGTACGTGCTCGAAAGAAGTTAAAAACTGGTGAAAGCGTTGACGAAGAAGATAGCAAGCAAAATGATGAACAGAAACCTGAGGAAAATGACAGAATAAATGAAAACRAGAGAGATGAACKTTTGGACACTAACAAGTTTAATGAGAAGACAGATGAAGAAACAGAAACTGGTGTGAAGACTAGTGCAACAAAMACGATACCTGAGTGGGCTAGACAYAAAATCAGTAAGTTTTCCTTAGAAAAATAATCTCTTCTTGTTCTGATTGATTGCTAACTACCATTGCTCTAACTATGTTGTAAACATTGCATTTTGTTTTCCAGAGCAACCAAATATTGTRAAATCKTATGTCAAYCAACGAAGAGATGAAAGACCTGAGGAATTTGCACCACCTTCATTTTACTACCATACTACAGAAAACAARAAAGACAAAAYACAAACYAAKMGGGGTACAGAKAGYAACAAAAAACAACTTGACAACAATGTATACAGTGATACAACAAATGYCAATGCTACTCCTTTACAATACCCACACTATCCACCCCCTGTCAGTAACTTCATAGGTCCTCCAATATCATTACAKCAAGGAAAYGCATTGCCAAACTTACCCCCACCCCCAGTGGACTTTACTCGCACTCCACCCCCTGGGTTTCCACCCTTTCAAATGCAAAACTATGCACCCTTCCCACCTCCTTTTACCATACCACCACCCAATCTACCACCTCCATGGCAACAGTTGCCTGGACAACAAGCTTCAATGATGCACACTCCATGGCAACCATATCCAAGGCAACATCAAACAACTMCAACTGAAATTTCCAGTTCAAGYGTTGCTYATCAAGAGCATCATGAACAGCAAMCAAAGGRCATGGAAACAACTAGTGCTACTGTAATAGAGGAATCTGCTTCTTCAAATCAAACTGATAATAATTTGCAAAGTAGAAGTGAAAATGAACATAATGWGCAYRCAGTGATGAAAAGTACAACAGTACAACGAACTGCWGAAGCTGTTGCAGACTTTGTAGCAAGCATCTGTCACCAAACTTAATACAAAGATTTCTAAACTGTATAAGTTAAAAATCTGTTTCAATCCCTTGTTTTGTTGTATTAAAACGGAGTATTGTGTTCATGAAAACAATTCCAATTCTAAGTTATAATAAATTTAATACACAAGGATCAATATTTGAATTTCTCTTTATTTATTATGATTTTCCTCTATATCAATTAACCTAGTAGCATCTACATTATGTTATCATGAGGCTTATTCAGCAGGACATTCCCAGTAATGCATTACGCACTTCATCTTGGGATAGAATGAGCCTGGGTACCTTCGTCTACTAGTGCGTCTGCGCGCAGCTCCACCATGTCTTCGCCAGTTAATAAACCTTTTGTTGTTGCCACCTTCATCTTTTCCCCAACCAAATGAAGTGGTACGGGTACAGAGGCACTTGTACGATATGGTCCCATCTGATTGTAGTCTACTAATGATGCCCTTGATGCTGGATGAACAGTCAAGGCCGACGATCACGTGACCCTAGTTTCATAAAATAACTTCAGTCATGAGAGGTCTGTGTTGCTTTGGCGGAGATGAAGATCAATCAAAAATCAAGTAATAATGAAAAAATTTTCGTAGAAGCGGTCTGTTAGAAGAATCCCTCTTTGGCAAAGCTTAAGGTCAAATAATGTACCCTGCAGTAGTCCCATCTGTTATGAGTTGTCCCCTCCCCCGGTAGTTTTAGTATCGCAACTACTCGTCAACTAATTCTCGCCCCTTTCTTTATAAAGAATGAATTTTCTTACAGAGTCGTAAAAGAAACGATGGACTAAATGGGGTAAAAGCCAAAGGACGTACGATAAACATTACCATATAGGGCTCGAGATGGAAGCCCTGTACATACCGGAGATGGTCCCGTAAGATAGATCTCAGCAGTCGCTTGTGTCGTCTCCATACTCTCCAATTCATGGTGCTGACAGCCTTTCAGGGCACTTATTCCRCTTTCTCCTCGAGGTCCTCTTTGTCCTTGGTCCCCTTTAAGTCCTCGAGGTCCTTGAATCCCTTGTGGTCCTACAGGTCCTCGAGGGCCTATCGGTCCRACCGCACCCTCGGGTCCTTGAATRCCCTGTGGYCCTGGTGGACCTTGAGGGCCTGGGATRCGACTTTCATTAACGGCCTGAATKATTGATAAAATGGCATCAGCATTGATTGGTCAAGAAACTTAGAAATTCTATTTACAAATCGTATTATTACAAAAACAGCGTTAAATATTAAAATTATATATTAATACTAAGACAATTAGGTCAATCGAGAAGTATTCGTGTTACCTTGATTGCGGCAGAAAGGGYCAAGGCTTTGTTCTCAAAGTCTTTTTCGACTTTACTGATTTGATAAGTCAGTATGTCAACAGCAGCATTGACCTGGTGGACAAATAGATAACAATAAACAAACAAACACCAACATAATAAGCAATTTAGAAATGGTTTTCGCTATCATTTCATTTAAAAGTGAACGCGCGGTTTAGTGGTAAACGGTCTTCGCTATATCAAGTATAAGTGATTTCGTTGCTTGTGTTAAGCAAAGTCTTTCTCCATGTTTTGTTCATTGATTAAACTTTTCTGGCTAAAAATTTTTAACGCAAAATCTCACATGTGTCAAGGCAAAGGAGATGACGAACAAAAGAAACGAAACAGAGTAACTTGAATTGAATTTATCACTTGTTATATTCGGCGTCCAAAACGAACTTGATTTGTTTGGATTGGTGGTCTTCTTGCATTTCCTTTGTGTGCTTCGCTCAGCTCAGTCATGAAAAAGATATCACTCAGATGTGTGCTTTCAAAGGTCAACAATGGCAGTTCTTACCTTTTTATCCAACTCACTGTACTTCATCTGAACGTCACTTTCAACTGATGCCAGCTATAAAGCGATAAAAATATATTGTTTTCACTTTTATGACACATATWTTACTACAAAATACAAATTCACTGATCGCTATCAATACCTTTGNAAACACAAACTAAGAGGGGTACAGAGAGCAACAAAAAACAACTTGACAACAATGTATACAGTGATACAACAAATGCCAATGCTACTCCTTTACAATACCCACACTATCCACCCCCTGTCAGTAACTTCATAGGTCCTCCAATATCATTACATCAAGGAAATGCATTGCCAAACTTACCCCCACCCCCAGTGGACTTTACTCGCACTCCACCCCCTGGGTTTCCACCCTTTCAAATGCAAAACTATGCACCCTTCCCACCTCCTTTTACCATACCACCACCCAATCTACCACCTCCATGGCAACAGTTGCCTGGACAACAAGCTTCAATGATGCACACTCCATGGCAACCATATCCAAGGCAACATCAAACAACTMCAACTGAAATTTCCAGTTCAAGYGTTGCTYATCAAGAGCATCATGAACAGCAAMCAAAGGRCATGGAAACAACTAGTGCTACTGTAATAGAGGAATCTGCTTCTTCAAATCAAACTGATAATAATTTGCAAAGTAGAAGTGAAAATGAACATAATGWGCAYRCAGTGATGAAAAGTACAACAGTACAACGAACTGCWGAAGCTGTTGCAGACTTTGTAGCAAGCATCTGTCACCAAACTTAATACAAAGATTTCTAAACTGTATAAGTTAAAAATCTGTTTCAATCCCTTGTTTTGTTGTATTAAAACGGAGTATTGTGTTCATGAAAACAATTCCAATTCTAAGTTATAATAAATTTAATACACAAGGATCAATATTTGAATTTCTCTTTATTTATTATGATTTTCCTCTATATCAATTAACCTAGTAGCATCTACATTATGTTATCATGAGGCTTATTCAGCAGGACATTCCCAGTAATGCATTACGCACTTCATCTTGGGATAGAATGAGCCTGGGTACCTTCGTCTACTAGTGCGTCTGCGCGCAGCTCCACCATGTCTTCGCCAGTTAATAAACCTTTTGTTGTTGCCACCTTCATCTTTTCCCCAACCAAATGAAGTGGTACGGGTACAGAGGCACTTGTACGATATGGTCCCATCTGATTGTAGTCTACTAATGATGCCCTTGATGCTGGATGAACAGTCAAGGCCGACGATCACGTGACCCTAGTTTCATAAAATAACTTCAGTCATGAGAGGTCTGTGTTGCTTTGGCGGAGATGAAGATCAATCAAAAATCAAGTAATAATGAAAAAATTTTCGTAGAAGCGGTCTGTTAGAAGAATCCCTCTTTGGCAAAGCTTAAGGTCAAATAATGTACCCTGCAGTAGTCCCATCTGTTATGAGTTGTCCCCTCCCCCGGTAGTTTTAGTATCGCAACTACTCGTCAACTAATTCTCGCCCCTTTCTTTATAAAGAATGAATTTTCTTACAGAGTCGTAAAAGAAACGATGGACTAAATGGGGTAAAAGCCAAAGGACGTACGATAAACATTACCATATAGGGCTCGAGATGGAAGCCCTGTACATACCGGAGATGGTCCCGTAAGATAGATCTCGGCACTCGCTTGCGTCGTCTCCATACTTTCCAATTCATGGTGCTGACAGCCTTTCAGGGCACTTATTCCACTTTCTCCTCGAGGTCCTCTTTGTCCTTGGTCCCCTTTAAGTCCTCGAGGTCCTTGAATCCCTTGTGGTCCTACAGGTCCTCGAGGGCCTATCGGTCCRACCGCACCCTCGGGTCCTTGAATRCCCTGTGGYCCTGGTGGACCTTGAGGGCCTGGGATRCGACTTTCATTAACGGCCTGAATKATTGATAAAATGGCATCAGCATTGATTGGTCAAGAAACTTAGAAATTCTATTTACAAATCGTATTATTACAAAAACAGCGTTAAATATTAAAATTATATATTAATACTAAGACAATTAGGTCAATCGAGAAGTATTCGTGTTACCTTGATTGCGGCAGAAAGGGTCAAGGCTTTGTTCTCAAAGTCTTTTTCGACTTTACTGATTTGATAAGTCAGTATGTCAACAGCAGCATTGACCTGGTGGACAAATAGATGACAATAAACAAACAAACACCAACATAATAAGCAATAATATCCATGTTAACTAAGGGCATAACAGGGACCGCGGAGTGTGAATTTGTTTTGTTTTTTTTGGGGGGGGGGGGGGGGGGGGGGGGGATAGCGGCGACGAGGTACTAATGGGGTTCGGAAATTTTTGAAATCATTAACTCTCGGAAATGTCATTTCCAGCGTTTTGAGGCGTTATCAAAGACAGTTAGTTACCGCACACACGGTCAGCGATATTATCAATAAAATCCCAAAGACTTCGCAAAAATCAAAAGCTTCAATTTTAATTGTTCACGCTCTGTTTTTACACAATTTTTATAGAGTATGTATGGTGGAATTTCATAAGGAGGCTCTTCGCTTCTTTATTTAAGAAAAATCAAAATGTCGGTAAAAATTATTGGGGGGCTGTAGCTCCCCAGCCCCCTCCTGCTCCGCGGTCCATGCACAAGAACAAATATTACGCCTCGAGAACAAAAACAATTATAAACAGAGCATCGAGCTAAGATCAGTAGCCTGATGATCCCACAAGTTTCGTGAAACTTAAGTAGCTCGAAGTCCTTGTAAACATGTTATTTTAAGAGAGAGGTTTTGTTTTTCGCTATCGTTTCTTTTTAAAGTTGTAAAGTGCGTAAACGTTGTTTCGCGATCAAGTGTAAGATTTCGTTGTTTGTTTTAAGCAAAATCTTTCTCCTTGTTTTGTTCATTGATTCATGCAGTCTGGGTGAATTTTATAACGCTTAATTTTACATGTGTTGAGTTCACTAGGCAAATGAGATAACGAACAAAAAAAGCAAACAAAAGATTGGAGTAACTTGAATTGAATTTTCACTTGTTATATTACTTGATGATAAAATTGAGCGATAAAAAACTGTTTTTTAGAAAAAACATTTTAATGAACGACGTTTCGACGTTAACATAACGTCATTTTCAAGTAAAAGGGGAATGGAAATTACAAGATGCTCATATATAGGAATAAAACAATAGGAGCTAATTTACAATTAAAAATATAAAGGAAAATATGTACAATGAAATATAATAAAAAGAATGTGTAACAATATAAAGTAAGAAAATACAAGATTACAAGATGCAGATTATGTTGGCATGACAACCCGACACCTCTTTCAACGCATAATTGAACATAAGTACAATTCTACAGTAGGAAAACACTTAAAAGAACATCATGGAATCCTCACGGGACCAAACCACGAACAATTCAATGTGTTGAAGAAATGCAAAAACAAGTTCAACTGCCTGTTATTTGAAATGTTGTACATTAGAAAGCTTAAACCATCACTAAACGTACAAAGTGACTCTATAAACGCCAAACTTTTTACTTAATTTTATCTTTATATTCCGTATTATTGTTTACTTGTATTTTCTTACTTTATATTGTTACACATTCTTTTTATTATATTTCATTGTACATATTTTCCTTTATATTNTGACCTGGTGGACAAATAGATAACAATAAACAAACAAACACCAACATAATAAGCAATTTAGAAATGGTTTTCGCTATCATTTCATTTAAAAGTGAACGCGCGGTTTAGTGGTAAACGGTCTTCGCTATATCAAGTATAAGTGATTTCGTTGCTTGTGTTAAGCAAAGTCTTTCTCCATGTTTTGTTCATTGATTAAACTTTTCTGGCTAAAAATTTTTAACGCAAAATCTCACATGTGTCAAGGCAAAGGAGATGACGAACAAAAGAAACGAAACAGAGTAACTTGAATTGAATTTATCACTTGTTATATTCGGCGTCCAAAACGAACTTGATTTGTTTGGATTGGTGGTCTTCTTGCATTTCCTTTGTGTGCTTCGCTCAGCTCAGTCATGAAAAAGATATCACTCAGATGTGTGCTTTCAAAGGTCAACAATGGCAGTTCTTACCTTTTTATCCAACTCACTGTACTTCATCTGAACGTCACTTTCAACTGATGCCAGCTATAAAGCGATAAAAATATATTGTTTTCACTTTTATGACACATATWTTACTACAAAATACAAATTCACTGATCGCTATCAATACCTTTGTGACGAGTCCTGAAATTCGTTTATTTATTCCATCAAGCTAGAAAGAAGAAAACAATTAGGTATTAAAAACACGAAAAGAAAAATTACTAAGACTGAAAATAACCGAGATTGGACTCGAACCCTCGACAAAAACATTAATTCCACCGAGATATTCTGTGAAGCTAATTTTACATTCCGGTTAGAGATTTCGGCTCTTCCATGCTATCCCGATAATTGGTCCTAAATTGTGAGGGAGTAGCTAATCGGCCCTTTGACCACAGACAATTTAAACATCTTGCACTAACTAGGCAACTATCGAAAATATGTCAAAGTGGGGTTGTCTATTTGTTGCCATAAGGTCTATTATTTTGTATGAAATGAGTGTACCACATCTATTTTTCACTAGCAGCTTTTAAGTTAGAAGATTTCTTCGAATTTATTATAGCAAATATTTTGCTAAAACTCACAATGGCCTGGTCACAAACGCCTGGTGGACCACGTGGTCCTTGTAGTCCTGGAAGTCCTTGSACGCCTCTGTTACCCTGTGATATGAAGAGATTACAAGAAAATGAGAAAATAATTTTCTCTTGAAAAAATCTCACGATTTGAATCCGAGTGAATCAGAGGGAATTTGAATTTTAGCACAGAAAAGTTTTTAAAATGACACCGTGTGGATTATTTTTTATTTTTTTTAATTTTTTACTTAAAAGTACCTGGGGACCTTGATCACCATCTTTGCCATCATTGCCATCCTTCCCATCAACCCCTGGTGGGCCTTGTGGTCCTTGTATCCCAGGAGGCCCTCGCGGCCCTACAATACTCTGCCCGTCCTTACCATCTTTGCCATCAGTACCGTTAACACARGTACAGTCGCAGTCTCCACTACCAATCGCATCGGGCTCTACCGGCCCTGAATTCGCTCTTACTAACTAGTCATTGAATAGAACTTTTAGAAATGCTAGGGGGGAGCAGTTTCTGAGAATATGAGTATAAGGTCGGAAGAAACAATGATCGAGTCGTTTTTAGTAAAATCGTAGAAACGATATATAAAACATGCTTTATCACCGAGAATTTTAGTTAAGTTGATGTTAATAAATCTAAAAGTAGTAATCATCAAGAACATAACGGATATAAAGATAAAACCAAAGTGACACATGTAATGTTCCTAGTGAAACTGTTGTACCGAAAGATAAGGTATAAGATCCAATGAGATGAGTATTGAAGTAAGATTGAAAGATGAAATGAATGAGACACACATTAATGAGATACACATTAAAATGAAGAAATGAAAAGATGAAAAATGAGATGGAAAGAGTTCAGAACTAAGATATGAAAGAAAACGTCTACAAAAAATGTACTGAAAATTATACCTTTTCAACTCCTACAATCCTTGGATCTCGTGAACCATTCACCATAAAAACATATAAAAACACACTTAAAACTGCAAATTTAACAAATACTGAAGACAACATATTACTTAGTAAGCTGGCTCTTTTGTAAAGTCTTTTTCTTAGCTCTTCTGGAGTCAAGTCTATCGAGGAACCTTCACTAAMACGGTTCAAACGCGCGGCTTATGTTTCCTGAATGTTGTAAGGTGTGCTGCGTTTAGTTAACGAACCTATGTGTTAATTTTCCCACGACTTTGAAAACTAATAAGAACTCTATTTGCTTAATTTTTAACCATCTTTTCTATTAAATGCAATAAAACGGAAGGGCATGAAATCTTACTTAGTGGTGTGTGTTTATTTGGCAAAGATTGGACTAAAACTGTTGACATCTATCAGTATAAGTGGCTTTGAAGTTTGGTTTGTAAAAAGACTTCATACTGCGTTGGTCTTTTCAACTGAAAACGTCATGTTTGGATTGGTGAGATGTATCATGGTAAAAGTGTCAAGATGGCGGATGAAAACTAAGTAGGTCGAAGTTTCTATGCGAATTTAACGCTATCCGGCCGTCACTATAAATCTTATAGTATACTAAAACACTTTTTCTAGGTAATATGTAATGCTAGGAGTTTGAAACACAACCAAAACATAACATGGTTCAGTTTGTACTTTCAATTTGTCTAAAAGATAAAGAAAAAGGACCATTGACAATCACTGAATGCCGGGAAATTGACGATGATCATGGTCGCATGCGATGGTTATAGGTAAACGTTGTGTCGTATATTCGGCCTTTGACTTATGGAATCTCATTCATTAGACCAATAATAAGATTAAATTCAATTAGCATGCAAGATCAGCATTTCACAAAGCAGACAACGTTACTTTCCAAATGTTAGAGTTCCGGCTTCATAGAACTCCAAAAAGAACCAAACTCTTTGACGCGACGTTTTTCCCATGTGCCTCTTTACTTTATTATCGATACACCAGAATACTGAGAGCCTCGTAGGATACAGTTCACGTGATATGTGACATATAAGTAGCTCTCTTTAATTAAGTGGATGTGGATGTCAAAAACACTAAAACAGGCATCAAATTCGATGTTTTTTCCTGTGCAAATTTCACAGCCCAAAAATCAACACTTTTTTCTCATATTTTGTCAGGTATTTCCTTCTCCTTCATCCCCTTAAAACAACATGCAATTCTTATCTTTTCATTTATATTAATGACTACGTTTGGCTATAAAACAACACAAGAAAATATTGCCAATATAATGCTGTTATCCTTCACAAGTTTGTAAGGTCTCTTGTGATTGGAAGGATAAAACAATGCTCATTGTTTCCTCGTTCTTAAATCCTATTGTTTCTTTTATTCAACAAATAGCTAGTAAATCAATCGGACAAGATCTTGCAAAACCGTGAAGGGCTATCAATATAATGTAGTGTGTGGTCTTTGCTCACATCTCCCCTCTGCGTAAAGAACCTTGAAAAGACAGCTTACCTTCCAAGACCGAAATGCATTGTTGGTAGTTCTGACAACTTTCGGAACGAAATCTCTGATTGGCTGTKTTTTTTTCTTTAATAAAAATGACACTTTTTGTCTTTGTTTTCTTCTATTCTTTTGTTTTGAACAAGCCTAGCTATTGGAGTACACCTTCCGAAAGGTGAAAGCCCACTCCGTTTTCGTAAACTGAGAGTGACTATACCAGATCCGTGATCCAAGAACATCAATGGAAACCAATGAAGTCTAGAATTAACCTTTTGTACCTCAACTAACTTCGAATTTAATAGCAACAGCGCATCGCGGTCTTTGAATGTACTTAGATGAATTTAATAACTTTTATTTATCATTCTTAATGTGTACATTATACAAACTGTATTATTTCTGCCTTTGTTTATGGTTTCATCCTTACAATGTACAGAAATGCCGCCTCAAGGGTCTAAAGACTGAAACTGTAAAGTTTCCGCATTCAACTCCTAGTCCTTTATGTTTCCAATGCACATAATTACACAAGTGAAATATCATAACCTGCATCATATCTTGCAATTTATCAGTCTGAAGAAAATTGTCTACTT